CCAAACGACAGCCTTTCAAATATTTAAAGAGAGCAATCACGTCCCCCCTCAATCGCCTCTTTGAACTAAACATTCCCAAGGCCCTTAGCCTTTCCTCATAGGGCTCAGTCTCCAGACCCCTGAACATCCTCATCGCTCTCTTCTGCACCCTCTCGATCCTTTTTGAAGTGAGGCCTCCAGAACTGCACACGGGACTCCAGGTGCGGCCTGACCAAGGCAGTATACAGAGGGACTATGACCTCCTGCAATTTCAATGATATGGTCCTTTTAATACAACCCAAGACTGAATTTGCCTTTTTTGCCACTGCATCACACTGACTGCTCATATTTAGTTTACAGTCCACTCTTACTCCAAGATCTCTTTCTCATACACTACTCCCTAGAAACGTATCCCCCATCCAGTATTTGTGCTTGACATTTTTGTGGCCCAGATGTCATACTGTGCATTTATCTTTGTTGAATTGCATCCTGTTTGCAACTGCCCACTTCTCGAGTGTGTTCAGGTCTTGTTGAATTGTAACTCTATCTTCTTGGTTGTTTGCTACTCCTCCCAATTTGGTATCACCAGCAAATTTAATGAGTAGCCCTTCTACCCCTTCATCCAGATCATTGATAAAAGTATTGAAAGATACGGGGCCCTAAACCGAGACCTGCGGCATCCCACTGGACACTTCCCTCCAATCTGATGAAACGCCATTGACCACCACTCTTTGGGTGCGGTCCTCTAACCAGTCCCCTATCCTCCAGACTGTCCTATAGTCCAGCCCACAGTCTTCCAGTTTTCCCATCAGAATGTCATGGGGAACTTTATCAAAAGCTTTACTGAAATCTGAATCACTCACTGTGTAAAAAAGTATTGCCTTTTGTCCATCCTGGATCTACTGCCCATCAGCTTCTTTGGATGCCCTCCCGTTCTAGTATTTCAGGAGAGGGAGGAAAAGTTCTCTTCGTCCTTTGTGGAACCAGATCTAGTAATGGGTTTTGTTACGTGGATTCACCTAGCAGGCTTCATTGTATTGTTTTCAGGCACATGTGATGCTTGTTGTTGTTCATTCGCACAGTCGAGTCCGACTCTTCGCGACCCCATGGACCAGATCATGCCAGGCCTTCCTGTCTTCCGCCATCCTCTGAAGTTGGCTCAATTTCGTGTTCGTTGCATCTATGACACTATCTCATCCTTTGCCGTCCCCGTCTTCTTTGACCTTCAATCTTTCCCAGCATCAGGGTCTTCTTCTCCAGTGAGTGCTCCCTTCTCATTTGGTGGCCAAAGTATTTGAGCTTCAGTTTCATTATCTGGCCTTCCAGGGAACAGTCAGGGTTGATTTCTTTGAGGATTGACTGATTTGATCTTCTTGCAGTCCAAGGGACTCTTAAGAGTCTTCTCCAACACCATCGTTCAAAAGAATCTATTCTTCGGCGCTCGGCCTTCCTTATAGTCCAACTCTCGCAGCCATACATGACTACTGGGAATACCATTCCTTTGACTATGCGGACTTTTGTTGGCAGGGTGATTTCTCTACTTTTTATCATGCTGTTTAGGTTCGATGATTTAGTTTAGGTGATGCTAGGGGCTGACAAATTCTCTAACCCTTGTAAAGCCAAAAAATCCCACTTTTGCTCCTTGCATCAGCACAAGGTACTGTAGTGCTAAAAGTGGGCTTGTTTGGTAGCTTAGGACATGGCTGGTAACTCCAAGAGATATCATCTTGAAAATACAGTTATTTTTGGAAGAGATTTTAAGCTTTGTAGTGAACCTGTTGTGACTATTGTAGATAGAATGCATCTTTCTGTAGCAGTAAGAATGAAAGCACATGATGTGGGAGATGTGATCCAGAACAGATTTTTGGAGGGGTGACCTAGTGATAGATTTTTTTTCTTTAAAAAATGTGGTTTTAGACAGGTTTTGATGTGTGGAGTGACTCTCGAAAATTTCAACAAAATCCATGACTGTTGATTTAGTCCTGTTGATTTAGCATGGAATGGCTGATACAGAATCTCCCATTTCCTGATAGTGCACGAGGGAAGAGTATTTTTTCATCTCTACAGTATGATGACATCCTTGGTGTGTTTTGTTCAGATACGTGGTTTTTAAAAAGTAATGTTTCTTTTTTAAAGTTCATATTAGCAGCGTCTTGGGATGTCCAGTTAATACGCGCTTCTTAGTTTTGACATATTAATAGATAGTTACTTAAAGTCTTGAGCTCTGAATGAGTATAGCTTGTCAATAAAGTAACCCTAATTAAAATTATTGGTAACCAAAACTGTTTGGACAGGGGTTTAACTCCTATTCCCTCTTGTGCCGTCCCTAAGGGGAATCTTCTTCCCCATTGTAGTGTGTTACATCAGTTCTTCTCTAAAAGGGGAAGACGTGATTTTGATAGCTGGGTACACTCTTATACTATCATTCCATTGAAGCGGGAAGTGGATTGCAATTTTCATCTCCGTTCCTAGGTGGTGCCCTCTTCTTTCAGTTCTTTCCCTTCCTTGACAGAGAGTACACGGGAGCAGGAGAGCTCCGCCAGCTCCCTTTTTCTTCAGAACTCCCTGCACAATGTGCTCTTTTGTTCCTGTACTTTCTACTATTCTTTTATTTAAAAAAGAGAGAGAGAGAGAGAGAACTTGCCTTTTCTCCTTTTCAGTTACTTTTACTCTTTGCTTGCCTCAGCCCTGCTGCTAATAGGCCATGTGATGTCTGTCCAGAGTTTGCATACAGAAACATCCAAAGTCATGGGCTTCACCCGCAGGGATTGAGAGGTGATTGTCCCCAAGCTGTTGATGCAGCCGGCCAAAGAGATGTTGCATGGCTCCAGGTAGGGTGTGGGAAGCCACATCCCCTCCAAGTCAGGTTTGGACAGCAGAGCCACGATCAGTTTGGCTGACAAAAGAGCAGTGCACCCTAACAGTGCGGTAGGTGGGCCGAGAAGCAGGGTACAGAGCAGGCAGATGAAAGTTCCTGCTTGGTGGGGGATGCATCTGCAGGGCCCCTCTCCACACAGTCTGTCCCACCACCACCACCACCACCACCCAGCTCTGAGGAGGAGGTACCTTCAGGATTTAAAAATTAAAACAACTTGTTTGCTTTACTCCACACTGGTTGAGAAGTCCATAGTTTCCCAAGCTATCAACCTGCCTGTCATGGAGAATTCCAGTATTGAAAGATATGTTGATGTAGGGGACTGATCCTGCAGCTAAACTAGCTGCACCTATTTGCATGTTGGTTGAACGGCAAAGCTTTTCGCAACAGTGTCTTTTTTTGGAAGAAATACCCAAGGTAATGCTGGCATCAGAGAACCCTCTGCAGCTGACTAGGCCTTCTGAAGACGGACAGACAGAAAGGCATTCTAGCCAGGAAGGTCACTCTTGCACTGGTTCTCTATTTTATACAGGATGGACTTGTTCAGGGAGGGCTGTAGTCGTGTTTCATCACAGAGTGCTTCCTTCCCCAGAAGGTGTTTCTGTCTCAAAGTTGTATGCAGAGGGAACGTTTTTCTTTGGGCAGTGTCACTTTCATGTCCTGTTGTGATTCACTGGTTCCCTCTTGGAGCGATATATGATGCTTTAATCCCTACCTAAGCCGTGTGGACTATTACATGAAACCTCTTTCTCAAACTCCTTGCCTTCCTTCCTGCTCTCATTCTTCATTGCAGTCAGGACAGCAAGAAGTGTCAGAAGTCAAGGTGCTGTCCGTTGCACCTGACCCCGCAGCCTTTTTCAGAAAGGGAAGAAGCGTCTCCAGTCAGCTCCAACCTTTATACTCAAGGTGAACTCTGTGTTCCAGAGAACACAAGGAATGCCCTGTTTGCCTTGAGACCAGCTCCTCTTAAACAGAGAGGTTGGTGTACTCTGAGAGTTATGTGGGCTCTAAATCCGAACTACACCCCAAGGGAAGTCTGATTATTTTTGTGGCTTTTCACCGAAGGAAAAAAATATGTCTATGGCACCCCTGGGGAAATGGCTGAGAGAATGCATTCACACAGCGGTTACCTCCCAGGGTTTGAAATCTGCGGATGGAATCTCAACATACTATAAAAATTGCAGCTATAATTTCAGCATTTGACACATCCACCTCTGTGGTGGATCTTCGTTGAGCAGCATCATGAAGTCTTCAGCTTCATCAGATACTATGTTGGACTCTGTTGACTCACTCGATGCAACACTTGGGTGCAAGGACTCCAAGCAAGTGCTTCCGTATGGGGTTGAGAGTTCTTTTCCTCCCTGGACTCCAAGGCCCAGCCACAAAAATCATGCCCTCCAGTTCCAGGGGAGAATGGAATGTTGGAACTTGCCACAGAAGTTCCTTCTCCTTGAAACTTCCTCGGAGGGCACCACTTCTTCCTGTCGTGAGCCCAAGAGTAGTGGGGATGGTGGTGGTGCAGGTTTATCTGGGAGCTGTAGTATTTGTCAGCTGTGGCGTAATCTCACTCATTCTTTGTTGTTTTCTCCTGTATGTAGTCTCTTTTTCTTCCAGAAGATTTTTGAGTTTCTTTTTCTTAATATTATGCTCTTGAGTAGTAGGCACATGTGGTAATTTTAGGTGCACACCTGTAGGAGTCTCCAAATTGAAAGAGGAGGCCACTGCCTAGAATTGGAGATGTTATTACAGTCAACTTCCTGTCTCAGTAGAATGGACAGTGCCCAGATATAAAAATGAGAGTGATTTAGAAAAGTTGTATGCTGCCTCTCCAGATGCCTCTCCTTCATGTTCTAGGTACAAGTAGAACGAGTCTCAACCTTCTGTTTTTCTGCACAGCTGTGCAGTTGTTCTGCAACTTAGCTGCTTAGTGGAAAACTTATTTTGAGGCTGGGAGTGTAAAAGATGGTGATAAAACATCTTAAATTTGCAGCAAAATTGTATATGACTCCAAAACCGTGGGCAGGTTATCAGTTCAGTCATTACCCAAGATTGGATACTGAATAAGTGAGGCAGGCTTTATTAATGTCCGTATGTGCAGACAGATGAATAGAAGACACTAACGGTAACGATCTTGCTTTCATTCCAGATGGGAATGGCCAGTAACACAAGTCCCTTCGGGCAACAGTTTAGTCAGACTGGAGGGCAGCAGATGGGGACCGCAGGCGTGAACCCTCGGTTGCCAGCTAAGCCCGGCATTGGCAGTAGCGCGTCTCCCTTTCCTCCAGACATCAAGAGTGTCTCAGTTACCAGTGTGCCAAATATGGTGAGTTGCCTGTAGCTCACTTTTTTTTTTGCCATTATCTTTTGCAATCTTGATACATACTTTCTAAATTGGTTTAAGGGAGAGTGCCCTGAAAAAGTTATGTGTTCAAGTTGAAAAATCCTGATAGAAACAAAGTAATGCACCGTTTAAGAGGTTTACTGTCCCACTACCTTTCTAACCTTAAGTGGGCTGTGGGAAACTTGCTGATTTATAGACAGTCCTACTAATTACCAGACAAAGCCACTTGCCCATAGGCTAGCAGAAAGTAAAACAACTGTGTGCTATATTTCCCACAACATATTCATAAAGGAGACTTCATTTAAAGTGTGATATATCTATTATATGAAGTCAATACGCCCATACAATCCATCATAGGAAAATACAGAGGCCAAAGAGTAAATATACAGAATTATACATAGAAAGTCCAACACTTTTCCCAGGTAATCTTTCAGTGTTTCAGACCTCTGGTCCCTTCTCCGGAACAAAGAACTGTGAACACGCTAAGTGCTAAGTTCTACATCTGGGTAACACAAATGAGGAACACGCATACTGAATGGGGGATACACTTCTGGGTAGCAGTGTTGTGTGAGCAAGATCTTGGGGTATGGGTGGACTGTAAGTTAAGTATGAGCAGCCAGTGTTGTGTGAGCAAGATCTTGGGGTATGGGTGGACTGTAAGTTCAGTATGAGCAGCCAGTGTGCTGCAGCGACAAAAAAGGCTAATGCAGTCTTGGGGTGTACCAACAGAGGCATAACATCCAAAGCGCAAAATGTTATAGTCCCACTATACCCTGCATTGGTCAGATTGTACCTGGAGTCTTGTGTGCAGTTCTGGAGGCCTCACTTCAAAGAGGATGTGGACGGAATGGAGCGGGTGCAGAGGAGAGCAAGAAGGATGATCAGGGTCCTGGAGACCAAGAAGCCCTCTGAGGAAAGGCTGAGGGACTTCTTGGGAATGTTCAGTCTGGAGAAGAGGCGTTTGAGAGAGGGACAGGACGGCTCTCTCCAAGTATGTGTCCAAGCACTGTCCCTTAGAGGAGCCTGGCAGGGAGCTGTTCCTGTGGGCAGCAGAGGAGAGGACTCGCAATTACGGGTTTAAATTCAGGTCCGGAAGGTGCCAGTTGGATACTAGGAAAAACTTTTTTACAGTAAGAGATGTGCAGCAGTGGAATCAGCTGCCTCGGGAGGTGGTGCGCTTCCCCTGATGGCATAAGCCTACACATGTTTACTTACAAGTAAGTCCAACTGAGCCTATACCACAGCTTTGGTCGCAAGCCTGCACATGCCTGCAGTATGCCTGATTGAGCTAATTGTGGCTGACTTCTGCATAAACACCCCTAGGATTGCCCAGCAACTCTTCTTGGAACACTTTTTTCCTTCTTTTTGCAGTGGATGATCTTCACATAAGTAAAGTTCTTGTTCGTTGTTCCCATACAATATGTGACATGCTTCAGCCAGTAGGTGCTCCTTCCTAGTTCCAGACAGGGCCAGATTGTCCTGATGAGCCACACAAGTTTACTGTATGAGCTGTTTCTTTGTGAATAGGCACAATAGGTCTCTCAGCCTGCAGAAATAGCAACACGTTTTGCCTCAGTTTCTGTGCTGTCTTGCAGAGGAGTGGGGAGGGGAGGGGCCGTGGCTCAGTGGCAGAGCCTCTGCTGGGCATGCAGAAGGGCCCAGGTTCAGTCCTCGGCAGCACCTCCAGTGAAAAGGACCAGGCAGACGGTGATGGGAGAGACCTCCGCCTGAGACCCTGGAGAGCCTCTGCCAGTCTGAGTGGACGAGTCAGACTTTGATGGACCCCGGGGGGGGGGGGGTCTGATTCAGTATAAGGCAGCTTCATGAGTTCATTTTGAAACATTATCATCAGCTACCCGATGAAGTATCAGTGCTTAGTTCTCGTGGCCCTTTCTTACACACCCAGGGAAATGCCGATGGCCACTTTGGGGTCAGGAAGCAATTTTTCTCCAGGCCAGTTTGGCCCCCAGGGACCCTGGAGGTTTTGTTTTGTTTTTTGCCATCTTCTGGGCATGGAGCAAGGGTCACTACTGGGGGTCAGTGCTCCCTCTAAGCTCCACAGCGTTGTGAGCAGAAATTCTACCTCATGAGCGGAAAGAACTAGTAGCATTAAAGTTGTGAGCGAGTCCACATTTGACTATCCTGTAAATTAGTTTTTAGATTACTTCCATAACCTTGTAAAAATCTCAGAATAAATTATTTTAAATTATATTTAAACTATATTTGACAAATAATACATACAAAACATACAGACATGAAATATAAACTACTAACTGTATTACATATGCTCCCTCACCAGCATACAGTTGCTATGTCCCCCCTGGCTGGGGGTGGGGTGGGGTGGGGTTGGAGGACTAAGTTGCCAGATCCAGGTTGGGAAACGCGGAAGAGGTTTCAGGATGGTGCCTGGGGGGGGGGAGGAAAGACAGGGACCTCCTCCAAAGCAGCCCCTTTCTCCAGGGGAACTGATCTCTGTAGTCTGGAGATGAGGTATTCCAGGGGATCTCCAGGTCCCACCTGGAGGCTGGCATCCCTACCCCCATGCAGGAAGTGCCATGGGTGGTTTTTGGGTCCCCCCCCCCCCCATGGGCTTGCAGAGGCCAGGCCGCACGCTCCCCTCCTCTTCCGACAACGCTGCTGGAGGACGAGTGCAGCCTGGGTGCTCCCTCCTGCCTCCCTCTCCCGGCCCCCCGACAGGCTTGCCGGGGCCAAGCTGCACGCTCCCTCCTCTTCTGACCCTCTTCTGACGAGGCTGTTGGAGGCCCTTGGATGGCACGCCACGTGTCCCCTCCCGCCTCCCCCCCAGCTCGCTGGAGGCCCCTGCCAGCTACCGGGGCCAGGCTGCACCCCCCCTCCCCCCTGGCAGTCTCCCCACAGCCAGAGCCTATCTGCTGCTTACCCCAGCTGGCTGGTGCTTCGAGGTGATGTTCTCCAGGAGCAGTCAGCAGGGAAGAGGCTTGGGAGAGCTGCACGGGAAACTGCAGCATGCTAGAAGCAAGCAGGGGGCAGCTCCTATTTCAGGCAAGCAGGCAGCCAGTAGGCCACCTAAGTGGGAGGGCAGGGCATCCCAGAGAAATCTCCCGTGCGTAGAGGAGGAGGAGGAGCTGTGCGTGACAGGGAACTGTGCTGGGTGTGTGTGTGGGGGGGAGGTATTTGTGAATTTCCTACTTTTTGCAGGGGGTTGGACTAGATGACCCTTCCAACTCTCTGATTCTAAGTGTGCAGGCACACAAAAGCTTATACCCAGGATTAAAATTTGTTGGTCTTAATGGTGCCACTGGACTCAAACTTTGTTCTATGTAGTATTATGCATTAGTCCATGTAATACCTTTTATTAAGACTATACAAAACCATGGGTGAGCCTTTGAGTTCTCCTGAACTCTTCATCAGGGTGGATTTTTTAAAAAAGCCCCAAGATTCAGCCCCTGACCACCACCACCCCTCCCCGTCTTAAGCCTTCAGGAGAACCCCGTAGGTGGACCTCCCGAGGGTGCCTGGTATTTTGGGCCCCTGTGTGACACTGTGAGTGTGGGACTAGACGGGCCACTGGCCTGACCCAAATACTGGCTTCTCTCTTGTGTTCTTATATGTTTGTTTATCTATTTATTGGTTCCGTTTGTGCCCCGCCCTCCCCGCAACGCAGGCTCAGGGCGGCATCACATCAGTCAAAACATAGGCTGACACGTAGACAACAATTAAAATCCACATGAGAACATTTAAAACCATTCAAGCCATACAGTTAACTTGAAGGCTCACACATGGTGTAGTCTCCTTTGGGAAGGTCTTGATGAAAGGCAATACGTTGGTTTTGATCACTTTTATTGAATTGTCTTCTGGGTTGTGGTTGTTTTTTTCCCATTTTTAAAAATGAAGAGTGAACTCATATTGATTACAAGAGAGAAATGAAAGATCCCAATTTGAAATGCTGTGATTTTTTAAAGGAGATTTTATTATAATTATATTTTTGACCTTGTTCTTCCACAGTGCAGAGTGTAGTCTCCATCTCCTATCGACAGGAAATGTTTGTAACTGTAAAAAGGTTTTAATGATCTCTGCACATCTGATTGATGGCTTTTGTATTTATGCGCAGCTGTGGTCCAGGAACGTGGTGTTGCTTTTAGATCTGCCCATCCCTGCCCTGTTCTTCCGTGTGTTGCAGAGGAGAAAACCAGCCCATCTCCAAGGGCTCCTTTTCTTTTCAAAGTAACAACAAAAACTGCTATTGTTGTTTCTTCCACCCTTCCTTTCACCTCTCCGTCCCTTTTTTGTGGTCTTTTGTTATACTTCTGCACCTCTGGTTGAAGGACTATTTTGAAAAAGCTTTGTCAGTTTAGGGGGATTAGCTGTCTTCAGCTAGTGGCCACAGTGGTATTCTGTGCTTGGGAGATCAGTGCACAGCCAAGATTTTACAGCCCACTGCCTCACATTTGCCAAGCAAGCAAGGTGCAATCGATGCATCAGGCTCTGAGCCACTGTTTTTGCAGGAAGAGACCTCTTGAACGCTGAGGTGAGGGTCGAGCCACTCAGAAGCCACGTGCCTTGGTGCTGGTGTCTCCTCTTTCATTCTTGATGCCAGAGCTTTTGACCTGAGTCTGTGGCCACCAAGCCATCTCCAGCGCCAAGACAGCACAAGGGCGAATGTCAGGGGTGTCAGGCTCAGTCACCTGTTCAGGGAAGAGTAAGACGCACCAAGAGAAGCACTGACCAAAGCCAGTGGAAAAGCAGACTCCATGTGCTCCTGCAGTGGATTCTCCTGCTTGGCTTCCTGACTGCCCTGTCCTCAGCCTCTCTCAACAGGTCCTAGAGCCCAAATCAATACATCTGGTTCTCTAGAATGCCAGTCTCCTCCCAGGAGCCCTTTAAGTTGATAGGGGCTTATTTCTAGGTATCCAGCTTGTTGGTTCTTTTTCTGAGGAACAGCTGGAGGACTCACTGGCAATGTAGAGAGAGAGAGAGAGAGTGTGTGTCCTTTCTGATGCTCC